GATTAAAGAAAAAATGATAGTATTTATATGACTATCATTTAATTAGAAAATTTGAATCCATCGAACATCGATATGTCTAAAACCTATCATGCGCCAAGAAATTAAACTCATATGTATTGATGATTTAATTTAGTTTTTCACGTCCGGAAAATCTGTTGAGCTATACCATGAAAACCATCAAGTCCAATATTCATGTTATGTGACATTTTTTGAAATTTCATGTATTTGTACAGTTTAGATACAATTAATTTGAAGTGAATATTGATTATATTGGTGGTTTTAGTTGGGGAAATAGTAAACATTAAATATGTATAGTAAGGTTTAGACAATGTACTTACAACTGCATGTGAGCCGAATTTATTTTCTCTATAGATTTTCATTTTTTCACCGTTGACTATTGTCGGCACCGTTGACTCTAACTAATTGTTTTAAAAATAAGAATTTTCCCACGTCTATATAGCCATAATATAATGTTTCCTTTTCCCATTGTAAATGTGAGTGAAAAACAAAGCATGAAAGAAAGAAAAATCACAAGTAAAAACCAGAACAAACAAAAAGCAAAGGTTTTTAATCACCATAAACTAACTAGTTCCCGTTTTAACCTTTTATCGTTTATGGTAAACATAAGTAATTTTCGAATATAAGCTAGGGTCAACTGCAAGTAGAGACCAGCTGAAATAATTATCGGTAAAACTCGGTTTAATCATTGATGGTGAATGCGATAGTTTGAAATGTCAACGAGTTTTGGATAATAAAGAAAAGTAATTATTGAGAAAATCTATAGAGATCGAAAAGTCACTGAACTAAGTGTAGATCTGTTTTGACTTTGAAGAAGAAGTTTTCATTAAATGGTTCCCGCCAATGGCCCAACGGCCCCGAACGCGTAGAACGTAACATGCATGGAGATTCATATTAATGGCTTCTTCGTCCCACTTGCTTATTTTTTAAGAACTCTTGAAGATTTCATTTATCTTATTATATAAAGCAATGTTTAGTTCCACTTACTGAGACACCAGCTAGAAACACAAGAGAAGAGATATTCACAGTTATTTTCTCTATAGAATGGGGCTTAAGGGTGTTTCTTGTTTGATTCTGTCTTTGATCTTGCTTCATTTGGGTGTGGAATGTGTTCTTGGGGATGGGTCTGTGGTAGGGCCTGCGAGGTATAGAGACGATGAT